TTTGAGGGGCGTTTCGGTGTCGGGTCCGACCCCTGCCATGGAGAGCCCAAGGATTCCTAGGGTAAGACAGTAAGTGGAAATTGGATAGGTCTCATCCTCGCCAACCAGTGGAAGTGTTGTAAGGGCACTTTGAGGCAGACTAAATAGGAATCATGTTCCACCTAGTCCCGGTTCAGGCGCAAAGCAGCAGTGCAGGCAGATGATTTTGGATTCTGGGCTGAGATGAAGATTCCCCAAACAGCTTTGACTCAATTCTTGCTTAGAAACTATCTTGGGTCAAGATGATTTCTGGCCTTTTGTATCCTTTGAATTGGCTTGCTTTTGGGAATGATCCGGCTTGACCGGTATGCATTTGGCTCTCCTAGGGCCGGACACTGCAAACCAAAAATGGCCAATAGAAACCGCATGTCGAAACCGCCGAAAACCGCCCCGCGGCGGCTCTGTTGGGTCGATGCTGTTGTGGCCAGCAATCCAGCCATGTCTCCAGTTCGCCTGGTTGGAGGACCTCGATTCTTCCAGGCTTTGGTGGGCCAATCCCAAATTCACGTTTTTGTTTTCTACAGTGCCATCCAGTCGAGGTGAAGAGTCACCCCAAGGTGAAGAGTCATCCTGGGTAGTGGATCTGTCCACCGAGCCGGAGAGGAGCCCCCTGCGAGCCCTGCCACGCCTCACACGCCACCTTCAGAAGCATACTATTCCACCATTTGGGTGTTTTTTCAATAGAAAACTAGACGACGAGTGGCCCGAAAGCATGTTTCATCACGTAGGAAGTCAGAGTGTGAGTTATCTGTTAAGTGTTCAGTGTGAAGTGTTAAGTCGAGTGAGTTGAGGCAGTGTGTGGGTCTCTGTGTGTGTGTATCTATGTCTGTGTGTGTGTATGAGTCTCTGTCAACCTCTCGAGAGCCGGGTGGTCGGGAGACATGACTCAGCTGCAGGGGCGCCAGAGCAGCCGCGAGAGATGACTCAGCCGCGAGAGATGACTCATCCGCGGACTAAAGTTGTACTACAAAGTCGCCAGTTCTCAGCTTCCAGCTCCAC